TGTTATAGTTGACATTTATCAGCTTCACATTATGAGCCACATGCTTTAAATCCAACCCTTACAACAGACTAACCCTCCTAGTATGCACAGGTTAGGTCCCCAGGTCAGGCTAGGTCCCTGATCAAAATCCTTGAGAAGTTCAACTTGAGTATCCAAAAGATATGTTAATCATATGCAATCAATTTCTTGTCCTAATGCTCTCTGGGCAGTTTCCTCGGGCAGTCTAGCTCAAGGAAGCTGTCACCGTGGGACTGAAGGCCAGGTTTGGTGTGCAGCCAGGGTGCAGCAGCAGTGCCAGCTTGGCTTCAGGTAAAGAAAGGGCCTGTAACTCTTTAACTTGGGTCTCTGGTCATTTCCGGTTGAGAATGCAACACTCAGGTAAGGCCTCTTCAGGTGGAAAACAGGAAGAGGGCGGCCAGGGATCAGACTGCACCTCCTTGGCCGCTGGCTTATTAATGATTTAACAGGAGTGATCACATGAGGCAACCACTATTCTTCTCAGCTTCTGCTCTTCTCACTGATAGGCTGAAAATTGAACAAGACGGACGAGGCCAGCAAAGAGGAGGAAGAGGACAGCACGTTCACCAGCATTTCTCTAGCAGATGAGCCAGGTAAGGAGGCAGACGGCTTCACAAACATGCAATTCAGCAACTGCCGGGCAGTTTTTGAAAAACATAACCTTTATTATTTTTATGATAATGGCAAAACAGAGTCACTGTAGAAAACTTGAGAAAGTATAGCTACAAAGATAGTTTTTAAGAGCTGTTTTTCTTCTTCTAAATTAAATGGTAATTTTTAAGGTTCCTACTACATGGATTTTTAAAGATAAATCAATGCACAAAAATACAAGATGTTCAACTCCTAAAAGTTCAAGAAACATGACCTCAAACTTTTTACTAAGCCATATTTTTGTTCAGTTAGAGAAAAATTCTTCTCTACTTTCTCAAATAATTCTTTTGCTTCTGAAAAGTGATTTAGAATATGCTAAAATTAGCCTTAAGAATTATTTCAGAAAATGCATGGTTTTTCAGCAAGGACAAAGATTGCTGAGTAAAACCCAGAAGGAAAAAAAAGGGAAGGGGAGTGGATCTGAAATGCTGACGGAAGGGATAACTGTGGTTCATTCAACGTCTCAGAGAAAATAGTGCTGAATTGCACCATGTTTACTGGAAATACTTCAAACTATAAGCACTCAAACCATGGTGTGAGTGTGAGTGTGAGTGTGTGAGTGTGAGTGTGTGTGTGTGTCTCCATCCAAATTCCTCTGGCACAGCCACACTAAGAAGCCAGCAAGACAGCAGCTAAGCCACGGGGGTTACCGATTTTGATGAACAGAGAGCAGAGCATGAATACTGAACACCAATTGCCCTTTCATGCAGCCACCCTCTCCCACTTTCTCCCTTAATGCTTGGATTCAAAAAGCGTCTTTTTAAAAGTGCAGCCAGCGGTCTGGGATTTAGCTCAGTGGTTTCCCCGCCGGCTGCACAAGCGCAAGAACTCCAGTTTGATCCCCGGTACCAAAAAAAAAAAAAAAAAAGTGCAGCCAGACAATTAACCCAAGCCGCCCCCCCCACCAGAGCTGAGCTTCCTTCCTAGCACCACACAAACATGCGGGGCTCTTTGGGTATCAAAGAGGAGCATATCCAGGCTCTGTCAGGGGAGGAAAGGTAAAGGCAGCGCTGTTAAGAAATGGGACACCGCTGGCCTTAAAGGGTCGGAGCTGCAGAAGACGCGAAAGAAACAAAGACAGGGGGAAGCCTAAGTTTTCGAGTTTGCAGAAGACTCCTTGAGCCCCAACCCTGGGCACGGGGTCCCCAGTGCTGCGGCCGCGCAGGTTTCTTCTGCACCGTAGAGTGGGCTCATACGAAGCAGGGGCCTTTTGGTGATCCTTTTTGAAATCACTCTCTGTCATCCATCGCAATGCACTCCCTCAGCCCTCCTCCTCTGCCACACCTCTCGGGAGGAAAAAAGGCAGCCAGGGAATTTACATTCCCATATTCAGTGCACTGTTGCTGCTGCTGTTTTATCCAGTACTGGAGAGACCCAGCCAGGGCCTTGGCCCTGAAGTGCTACATCCCCAGAGCTGTTGTTATTATTATTAATTATTATTATTATTATTTTGAAACAGGGACTTACTAATTTGCTACACTGCCCAAGTTGAGCTCAAACTTTCCATCCTCCTGCCCCAGCCTCCCAGTGTGATCAAATGGTAGACATGTACCTCCTGGTACTGGGCGTGTACCACCACCACGCCCAGATTTGCTGTGGTTTTGAAAGAGGATCTAACAGAGTTGCTCACTGAGTCTGAATAAACCGAATAAACGTTGAAGAACCTGAGGAAAAGTAATCACCACTCCCTGGCCAGTAGTGAGCTGAAGGTTGCCAGGTCAGAGACGCAAATGTCCTTGCTCCCGGTGAAAGCCTCGTTTTCCTTGGTGAGACTGGGTCAGAGAAGCACAAGGCACAGATGGTCCCAGACCTTGTTCAGCATCCAGGTGGGGTAGGCACAGGATCTGGTACTAATTTGGGCTGTTTCAGTATTTCAAAATGCCAAATGGAAATTGTTCCTGTTTTTGTGACAAAATGTGCCAGTTAATTAAAATGCCATGTTTCTTTACTTTCTGGAGATTAAAAAAAAAAAAAGAAAAAAATTTGATGAAGTAGTACTGGACAGCTGCTGTTATTAAGAAGTTCTGGGATTTGATAAATAAAAATAGGAAAATAAATTATGATGAAATAAATAGAGCATGTTCAGTAGACATCCTTCAATTGTGAAGTCCAAGTCAGAGTAAGGATTAAAAGGGTATTGCTTTTATTTTTTTTTAAAACAGTTTAGTCCAACTTACTTACTTTTCTTTTTGTAATAGCCAAATACTCATATACCACATGTGTGTGCACAAACATAATATACATGGATATGAAAAGGGGGCCTAGAGAGGTTAAATGCCTTCCCCCCAATCACAGAGCTAATTAGATGCAGAATCAGGAAGGAAGGAAGGAATTAACTAATTCTTAGATTCAATAAATTTACTGGCTCCAAGATGCAATGCTAGGTTCCAGTTACACCTCAATCTTCACAACTTCACAGGGTAGTTATTGTCTTATCCTACAAATGATAAAACTGTGGCTCTCGCCAGGCATGGTGGCTCGTACCTGTAAACCTGGCTATTCTGAAGGCTGAGGCAGGATGATTGCAAGTTCCAGGCCAGCCTGGGCAACTTAGCAAGATCGTGTCTCCAAATAAAATAGATGTAGCTCAGCTCTTCCTGGGTTCAATCCCTACTACTGTGGGGGCGGGGGGTGGCTCACAGGAGACCTGTGGCTCATAAAACTTGAGTAACCTGGTCCAGCTACTTCCTGGAATGGTAAAGCCACACCCGAGTCTCACCTGGTTATGGATACTTCAGCTGAGCATCTGTCTCATCTTCTGTTTTCTCTGTAGACACTGAGAAGGAATGACTGTCTTGCTTCATTCTTGGCTCTTCAAAAGCTTGTTGGAACTGGGTACCAGTGAAACCCTTTCCTCCTTTATTAAACACTAAAAATAGTAAGATTGTAGGCCTAATGCATCTGCCTTGGTGATTACTCACAGAGAACATTGGTTCCCGAACACTAGCTGAGGGTGCTATTTGAAGCTGCTAAATATGGAGGTTGGCATGCAGTGCTACTCCCTTTCCTTCCTGAATGGACAGCAAGGCCCCAAGCACCCTGGTGCTGCCTCTGCTGCCTCCTTTGCACCTTTTGCAGCTTCCTTCACACTGTTTCTTTTCTAACTGAAGAAACAGCAAGAGAGAGAAGGGAAGGATATTTTTGCTCACTCAGGGAAAAGGTTAGTGTAAGGGGAGAATTGCAGGCATAGTTACACTTTGGTTCATCTTTGGGTTCATTTATTTAAGCAGTCATCCTTCTCGTTTGTGTAGTGTCATGAGGACTGGCAGTGCCAGTAGCAATCCAAGTCACAAACCAGTTCTGCTCCATACATTCATTTATAGCTTAGTTGGGTACATTTCTGAGCCAGTGCTCCCATAGAAACAAGATTATAAATGACAGGATTCCAGACCAGCCCGTAATTTCTAACCTCACTCTCTAACCAATCTGTGTGCCAAGGTGACCCAGGGCACTGCAGCAAACCCCCGTGGGGCATCTCAACCTCCATCAGGGACTGTGAGAAAGACTAGCTAGAGATCATTCCCAGTTTCACTTTGACCTGAGCTACATTTCTTTCAGTGACATCTCTTTTGATCCTGGGTTTCCTGCAGTAGTTATGATAAAAAGCAAATTCAATGTAAAAGCAAAAATCAATGTAGAACAGATAATGAGGGAAGTTTGAGAAGGTTGAAGTTATGCAGTGGCCAGCAGATGCCCACCTCCCATAAGTACAGGTGCTCCTTGACTTACAAAGAGGTCACATCCTAACGAATCCATCATAAATTAAAAATATCACAAGTCACACATGCATTCAATATGTCTGGCCTACAGAGAAATCTAGCTTAGCGACACAAAACACTGCACAATACTGGTTGTTTCCCTCCCTGATCACACAGCTGACTGGGAGTGATAGTTCTCTGCCACTGCCTAACACCATGAGAACATATTGTACTACACATTGCCAGCCCAAGAAAAGATGAAAATTGAAAATCCAAATTGAGTTTCCACTGAATGCAGAGTATAGTAAATGTTAAGTCGAAACTTTGTTAAGTCAGGGATTGTCTGCAATTGTGTTAATTTAAGAATGAAATTAAAATGTTTGCTTTCAATTTGGATGTGGTATTTTTTTCAAATGGCTACTAAGTTGGTAGGTCATACAAATAGTATTAAGACATTTGGAATCAAATACTTAACACATGGAACTGTTCATTGTTCTTGGCCTTGGAGCTTTGAGGTAGAATTACTACTGTAGATACTGTTATGGCTTTTGTATCTAGATGTCCCCCCAAAGCCTCATGCAGTCATAAGTGGGGCTTTTCAGGTGGCTGGATCTAGGGTGAGTGCTTCTGGGATCAAGGATGTAATGCTGGGATTGATTTATAGTGTGATGCTAGGATTAAGGTTGCCCATCCCTGCCTCTGGCGGCCTGATCCGGTCTGTTCTCACTCGCGCACTTCCGAGGCAGAGCCGGCTTCTCGCTCTTGTGCCCTCCGAAGGTGGACGAGTCGAACTGTCTCCCGGTGGACTGCAGGTCCGGAGGCAGCGTGACGGACCGCCACTCGGTGTCCTTGGCCCCGTGTGGCACGCAGGAGGCGGAGCAGGACCGCAGGAAGCGCTTGCTGGCGCTGCCACCGCCCTCCTCTTCACCAGCTGCTAAGCGGCTGCTGGTCAGCGTGCTGGACATTTTCCACAGGTGGGGAAAACGGAAGCTCGAGCCCCCCGACTCCCGGAAGGCTCCGTTGGGGACGCCAGCTGCGTTGCTGGGCTTGGGCGACTTGGCAGGCTCAGCAGCGTCGCAGGTGGGGAGGGCCGGCGCCCCATTGCTGACTTCCTGGCCGTCCTCCTCGGCTGGCCCCCGGGCTCGGGCTGGCCGTCCATCTCCCGGAAGGAGCTGCTGCGCTTGGGAGGGCTTGGGGCCATTTTCTTCTTCTTGATCAGGGCGCTGAACAGGTTGGTCTTTTGTCTTTAGAAAGGAGGCGCTCGTCCTCATTCTGGCCTCCGTCTGGGGCAGCTCGCTCTTTCTGGGGGAGCAGCAGAGACACGGCAGGCTCGTGGTCCAGGGGCTCACTCTCTCCCTGGGCCTTGGCGTGGGGCGTCTCAGACATATCGGGGGCCTCTCTGTGCTCGGCTGCTCTCCTGCAGGTCCTCGTCTTGGTGGGCAGCTCAGAGGCCTGCAGCAAGGTGCTCGCAGCCCCTCGCACACCTTGCTTTCCCAGCTCCTTTTCCACTTCATCCGAGATGCTGGACTCCTGGAACATGGTTTCAAAGGCCTGGTGGATTTCAGCAAAGGACGGCGGCTCGGAGGGATTCCACTGCCAACATGCTCGCATGAGTTCGTAGACCTTCTCTGGGCAGCCTTCCGGGCGCTCCATGCGGTAGTCTTTCTCCAGCAGTTCATACACCTGGGACAGGTCAATTCTGGGGTACGGTGACATGCCATAGGTAGCAATTTCCCAAAGCAGTACTCCGAACGCTGGTCACTGAACAGCTATGGCAGGGACTGTGAAGGCAGTGTCAACAGGACTAGGAGCTAAGTTCCCACTGGCCAGCACCAAGACAGTCCCAGATGTTGGACTTGATGGAGAACTTGTTGTAGGCCAGGCCCTCAGGCGCAGTGCACTTGATGGGGAAGTTGTCTCTGGCATGGGCTGTGTAGGTGTCCCCTGTCATCAGCCTGCTCAGGCCAACGTCTGCCACCTTCACCAAGTGGTTTTCCCCTACCAGGCAGTTTCGGGCAGCCAGATCCCTGTGGATGAAGAAGTTCTTCTCCAGGTACTCCATGGCTGAGGAGATCTGTGTGACCATGTAGAGCAGCATCATGGCGGTCACCTCCTGCCGGTTGCACTCCCGCAGGTAGTCCAACAGGTTCCCATAGGTCTTGAACTCGGTGATGATGTAGAACAGGGGCTCCTGAGTGCAGACCCCGAGCAACTGCACCAGATTGGGGTGCTTGATCTCCTTCATCACTGCAGCCTCTTTCAAGAACTCTTCCACCTCCATGGTGTCCTCCTTCAGTGTCTTCATGGCCACAGTGAGGCTGTACTTCTTCCACATGCCCTTGTACACCTCTCCATACTGGCCGCCGGCCAGCTTGTGCTTCATGGTGATGTCCGTGTGCTCCATCTCCCACTTGTCGTAGTTGGGGGACATGCTGTAGACCGTGGGCTTGTTGTGCTTGGGTGTGGGGTAGTGGAGGGTGGTGATGAGCCCGTCAGCCACCATGGAATGGTGGTGAACCAGCTCGGCCAAAGTGTTGAAGCAGCTCTCGGAGGAGACGTAGAGCTGTGAAATGTGGTGTTTCTATATACAGGACAAAGACAAACTGAATAAATGTCATAGGGATGCTGTATTAGATAGGATGAGATAGCCTTCTTCACCAGTGAGTGACAAAGATGCCCTGGCAAGTCCATTGACACTCCTGCTGAGGGTGGGGAATCAGGCACTGCCTATGTTGTCTGTGAGACATCAGATGTGGTCTCTGATGAGGAGACTTGGCAATGTTTACACAACCGTGAATAGCATACAATCAGCACTAGCAACTTATCTTGCATGTGCTTAGACTGTACACAAAGAAACAGAGCAGGGGGTTTCCAAACTGCAGGGCAGGAGCCACCTGTGAGTCCAGGAAATGAACGCAGTGGATTGCATGCAGCCAGCCGGATGCAGGGCAGTGTGGAGCACACATCGGGTATGAGTCTTTTCAAGGAGAAACAGATACATTCCAGGTCACATTTACCAGGAAATGCACCAGGAGGAAACTGGTGACAGTGTTTGCCACTGGGCAAGAGAACTGAGTTAGGAGCAGAACCATTTTTCACTGTGATTCATCTTGACCTGTTGGTTTTTAAGGCCCCAGGTACACATGATACAGTATGTAAAGATTCATGTGCCATCCGGACTACCAAGATATACCTGTCTACACTGCCCCTCAGTAGAGTGGACAGTGGGGTCCCAGCCTGGTCCCCACCATTTCTCCCTCTGTGATCTTGGGCAGGATGCTTCATCTCTCCAAGCCTCCCTTTTTTAAATGCAAAATTGCAGATTCTACCAATACCTGTCCAGAGGATGGAGTGGGGTCTAAAGATGGACTGCTGAGTGTACCTGTATGTGACATGAACTTGGTAAACATCAGTTCCTCCCTTTCTTTCTTGGACTTTTAAGCCTGTCTACACAAAGACAAAATCCTCTGTGCTGACTCCTTTACAACTATTTGGGTTTGGAAATATCAGGGTTAAAGTGATCCCTCTTTTGTTTAATAACTGTGCATGCTTACAAATGCATACACGTGCACACACACACACCATAAAAGTATGATTTTATCCATAGGAAGAAGGCCACAGGCTGGACTTATGTAGGAGGTGCTAACGTGTTCATCTGCCTTAATTTTTCTCATTGAGGATGAAGTACCATCATTACAAGGGAAGTTTCAAAAAGGAGGAGTCAAAAAAAAGGGAAGTCTTAATGTAAGAAGTAGTTGAACTCTGACAGCCAGGCCTGGTGTGTTAAGACACTGCCGACTCCAACAGGAACATCAGAGAACCACGTGAGGCCCAGACGCTTGTAAGGTCGAGTAGGGGTTCTCACCAAAGGGTCTTTCTTTGTAAGGCTAATGAACTGACTCCTGTAGTCCCCTCACTGATTATGAAACCCCTGGAGGAGCTTTGCTGCAACAGCCTATGGATGGACCTTGCCATTGGAGGCGATGTTGATCCTGTAGTGGTACACCCGGCCCTCGTAGTGCAGCGAGATGGAACAGAGTGCTGGCCAGGGCTGCTCTCGCTCTCCCGCACCAGGAAGCTGCCTTTGATCCCGCTGCTCAGCAGGTACTAGGCGGCATTGCGGGACACAGGCCTATGGTACCAGGAATGCTTCTCCAGGCTGTTGACAGGCATGATGTAGTTGCTCCGGACCCATCCTTGGCCATTCTTGGTTTGGGCTTCACACCACTCCCCATTGTGATTGTAGCCCAAGACCCGGAGCTTTTCACCTTTGGTGATGCTTAGAGTGTTGTCGCCACTGACCATGAAGTCATACAGTACAACAAAAAGGTTGGGGTCATTTTCACTGGGCCCGGCGAGGTTTTCCTTGGAGTTCCAGCGAGCAGCTTCTCTCAGACCTTGGGGCTCGAAGTCAGATGCTACTGGCCTCTGCAGGGCTTCATGTTCCACAAAAACATTGCAGTGTGGACCCCCATGCCTTGATGATTCCTTTTTCCCTGCTCCTTTGATAAAATGCAGGGCAGGCAAACTCGGCCTTCTTTGGTCCCCAAGAAGTTTTCCAGGCTGCTGCCCCATAAAGCAATGATAGGTACCCCTTGCCAGAAGAGGGTTCAAGATCTTCCAGAACAGTCAGTGGGCTTTCACATTCACTGCAGCTCCCCAAGACAGCAACTGAGGCCAATCTCAGAAAAATGTCTTCCACAAAAAAAGGGAGCAGAGTTCAGATTGACACATGTAAACAAGAGTTCCAATGATTTCCACAGTGTATCAATTTTAATTACGCTGCAACCCAAAGGTTTCTTGATTTTAAGTATACTATACGTACTGAGTTTCTTTCTCGAGAAGAAAAACTTAAAACTGAAATATTCACAGGAGTTGCTGAAAAGTACCAACGACACTAAATTCATTTCTATTCCCAAGCATAAAGGAAACGTTGACCATCTTCAGATGCTTCTCCAAAACTTTTCCTGTGGAAGTCACCATTCCCCTATCTTGGTTTCTCCACCCTAGCTGCTCTCCGGAAGACACACAGGTCACTCAGATTTCACAGAAAGCTTGCTGTCCAGTCAGACTGGGCAGGAATGCGTTGCCAGCAACTTTTAAGTCTGCTTTTTAAAAGGCCTGTGAAACCAATCCAGACTTTTCCTGTCCATTAAAGTTTGTGGCTTCGCTGAGTCCAGGGGGGCTGTAGGTGACATTGGAAGAAGTCAGGGCATTACAGGCTCGTGGGAATAATCTGGGGGACGGGGGCGCCACTTGACATCAGGAAGGGATTTGAATGGGGGGTTCCGTTGGGGCCGGGATCCGGAGCAAAAGGCGGCGGTGGGGGGAGGAGGCCCTGTTGCCTCCGCTCCCCTC